TGTTAATGTATTTGGTCTTGGCAGAATAGATCTGCTATGCTGCTGCTGCTGCTGAATTGCTGCTGCTGTTGGTTATTGTTGTAGTTGTAGATTATTGCTGCTGCTGCAAGCAAGTACAGGAACTTGCTACTGCCAATGCATGATACGGTGCCGTGAGTATTTAAGACATACTGCTGCTGCACAAATAGCATATAAAATAACTCCGTAGCAGATCTATACAGGTGGAGCTGGGGAAGGTGGAGGGTTTCAGAGAACTCTGAAAGCGCGCTGCAGGAATCTCAAGTGAATGCTAGCCAGCCATATAAATGCAAGGCAGTAAGCTCATTGGCTGCATATGCAGCATGAACCAATCAGCTTGTGCCAAGTCGTTTAACCCTCTGAATATCATCAGTTACGTTAACACCCCGTCAGAATGCGCCATCTAGAGTTTCATGACTGAACTATATATTTATACATCATTTGGAAAAAATCATATTCAAATTGGTTTATATATCTCTTTTAGTCAACAACATTGTATTGCATTGCATTATATGTTTAAAACTACAGAGCTTTGATCATAAAACTGAGCATTTAATTATCTTACATTATATTAGGAGATATTGAATGATCTGCTATTTATATACGTACATAAAGTAGTCTGTTATATTGTTATAAAGATAATTGATTTACATTTCAAGCAATCAGAATTTCACCTTACTTTTTGACCATATAAATAAAATCTGCACCAAATTGCATGTTTTTGCTCAGTTTGGGTCTCTGAATAAAATGAAAGTGTTTTTCTCCTTGAGTATGAGCCCCATATGCTCACTTTATCAAGTCAAGTCACCTTTATTTCTATAGCACTTTATACAATACAAGCTTCACAGAGTTTAACGGGGAAATAATGTCTAAGGTTTCAATAATAATAATAATTTTAAAAAAAACATACAGAAAATATATACAGAAAACCCCTGCATGACAACATCTGGGCTTCCTGACATTGACTTGAGTTTTGTCTGTGTGTGTTTTGTGAAGCATCATGTCAGATAAAAGTGAGCTGAAAGCTGAGCTTGAGCGAAAGAAACAGCGCTTGGCTCAGATAAGAGAGGAGAAGAAGAGAAAGGAGGAGGAACGCAAGAAAAAAGAGGTGAAAACACACCATACTCTACTTTTTTACGTGTATTAATATACCAGGCTGAGTTCCACAATATGCCACTCAAGTAAAATATACAGCGTGTCTTTATTATGAATAATAAGTAAAGTCCTTTACTTCAGTGTACTTAAAGGGTTAGTTCACCCAAAAATGAAAATTAGGCTGCGTTTTACTCACCCCCGATGCATCCTAGGTGTATATGACTTTCTTCTTTCAGACGAATCCAGTCGGAGTTATATTAAAAATTGTCTTTGATCTTTCAAGCTCTATCGTTGGTCAGCATTGAGTAAATGCAGTAGGAGGGTAAACAGAGTCAGATCACTGGTTTTTGTTCTTTGGGAACAATAGAAAGTTAGTTTGTTGATGAAGTGTTTGTTTCACTCTGTTTTGTTTGTGTCAGGCTGAGCTGAAGAAGGAGGCCGTCCCACTGCAGGATGATTCAGACCTGGAGAAAAAGCGCAGGGATGCTGAGGCTCTGCTACAGAGTATGGGCATCACTTCAGACACACCTGTGGGTAAGTCACCTGTGCACCCGAGCCACATCAGACATCTAATAGAAAATATCCCTCGAATATCAAACTGTGATCCCTTTATGTATTGGTAAGACGACCCCTTGCAGTCTAAGTCAATAATATGCTATGTGGACCCGAATTTTAGCTGATATTCAACAGCACAAGTTCCTTTGAGAGTGGGACCAACAAATGGAGAAAGTGTACTATATTGATTGAACACAAGGGGGCAGAAGTGCACCACTGTAGTTTTGATGGTGGTCAGCTAATTTCATCAAACACTTAGATTTAGTATTTATGACATATTTTATATCTGAACGCTGTAAATATAAGTAACAGTATTGTTAAAATGGGCTAAAAACATTGACAATCTTGGTCAAATTTTACATGCTCAAAATCTAAACTTTAATGCATGTGACCAAGACAAACTAATTATCTAATTATCTAATAACTAATTATCTAACACACACACACACACACACACACATTTCAGTTTGTGATTAGATGGTACGAACTGTTTTAATTTTTGTTATTATTATTATTATTGTTATTTAATTTTTTAGTTTAGTGTTACAGTACTGATTAAAAGTTTGGAATAATTCAGATTTTTTCAAATGTTTTAAAAGAAGTGTCTTTAATAATTAATGAGCAGTAAATCAGCATATTAGAATGATTTCTGAAGGAACATGTGACACTGAAGACTGCAGTAAATTTAGCTTTTCCATCACAAAAAATAAATTGTTTTAAAATATATTCAAATAGAAAACTGTACTGAAATTCAAATTTTACATGCTCAAAATCTAAACTTTAATGCATGTGACCAAGACAAACTAATTATCTAATTATCTAATAACTAATTATCTAACACACACACACACACACACACACATTTCAGTTTGTGATTAGATGGTACGAACTGTTTTAATTTTTGTTATTATTATTATTATTGTTATTTAATTTTTTAGTTTAGTGTTACAGTACTGATTAAAAGTTTGGAATAATTCAGATTTTTTCAAATGTTTTAAAAGAAGTGTCTTTAATAATTAATGAGCAGTAAATCAGCATATTAGAATGATTTCTGAAGGAACATGTGACACTGAAGACTGCAGTAAATTTAGCTTTTCCATCACAAAAAATAAATTGTTTTAAAATATATTCAAATAGAAAACTGTACTGAAATTATAATAATATTTCCCAACATTACTGTTTTTACAATATAACCTTGGTAAGTGTAAAAGACTTCTCCAAAAACATTAAAAACTTGTATTGTTCCAAACTTTTGACCAGTAATGTAGGAACATGTGCTGAAAATCATCAAAAAACCAGTTCATCAGACAAAATGTGTCAAAAAAGTGAAGTTAGTGAGGAGAAAAGCTCTAGTAGTGTTTGAGCGCACATGACACTTGTGCTGTGTATGTAATGCAGTGTCATTCAGACATTTTTAAGTGTGATTGAATTGTAACATTTTTGGAGGGCACTGTTTGTGGATGAAAGTATGTTAATCTCTTTCTTTCTTCAGGTCCCACACCCATGTCTCCCACGGCCAAATCTGCAGGCACTCCAAGTGAAGCAGGGAGCCAAGACTCAGGAGAGGGTGCCACCGGGCCAAGGTACTCTCTCTCTCTCTCTCTCTCTCGTTCGTGTGGCAGGTCTGATCTGATTGGAACTGGAAAGGTTTGTGGCTTTAGCATTGCTTGAAGGACAAACCGGCAGTGAAAGTGGTGTAGTATTTTTGTGACCGTTTGCAGGTCTGAGCAGGTAGGGGAAGGTTCTGCTGAATAAATCTCTGTTATTAGCTGCTTTTCACCTGTGACTAAAAGATAATTTATTGCTGGAAAACCCCTGAGAAGAGAGAGGGGGAAACATGAAAACATTAGCTGTGTTCCTACACCTAGTGAGCTGCCCGTCGTGTCTGTGTTTTACAGCATCATAGATGCAATCTTAATGCAAAGGCTGTTCCGGAGTGATGTTGATGCAGCCTTTGTAGCTAAAGCAGAATTGCATCTACGGAGAAGTTTATCCCAGAATCCGATGTAGTAGGCCGGAAATTCACATCACCCTGGTTCCCTCAACAAAAACACAACAGGATTTTTCCATTGGCTTTTTGCAGAAAATAAGCTCTGTGACCAACAAAAGTTGGATGCTCATCGTGATAATCTTCACAAATGAACACAACGTTTTCCTAAATACCTAAATACAATCGCCAGAAGTAAAAAGCCAAGCGTAGGCTATAAACACCATCTACTGACTTTTAACATCATCGACAACTCTTTCAGTCTTTATTTAAAAAGCATTTTCCCTGAATGTTTGAGTTAGAATAGTTTGCAAGAGCAAATTATGAAGATGGGGAGGCTGTAAAGCCGGATCTGTGAGTAGATGAGTTTTCCTGTTCAATGTTTACTGTCTCAGACAACCTCTGTAGGCCCATTTAGCACCTTGTTAGCAACTGCCTTTTTCAAGACAAGTAAAAGCTTTTAAAAATCTGGTGTATTATAGGTTGTAGAATAAATCATGAAAGTATCTTGATCTTGAATGAACCACAGAGCTTATTTCAGACATTTAACCAAAACCCATTGGCTTCGAGAAGATGGAACTGGTGCTAAAATGCTAACTCATTTCCTGGTTCCCTGCAGCACTCTATTGTCCCAACTGAATAATGAAATAGTTCAGGCTTATTGTGATTTTTACTCTTTGTTGCTGTAATGTTGCTCATCCTTACGTTATATCTGTTAGGTGACAGCTGTGCATTATTAATACCAGATTCTAGTATAGGGATAAAAAAAAAAAAAATCTGACAGTTTATTATTGACAGTCAAAATAGAGGGAAACTGTTCTACAGCAGATAAATGGGACCAATTCTGTGGGGACACAGGCAGCTAGGATTGAACCTGCATTACCTGCATGAGCCCCAAGGCTCAACTTTTCTGGAGCACATGAGCTAACCACTAGGCTCCAACTAGTAAACAATATAAATATAGAAACCTTATAGAATTAGAGTGAATTTTAGCTCACAATAAGACCCGTGGGAGCAGTTTAGAGCCACTGTAGGGAGAGTTTACAGCAGAAACTCACACACACACACACACACACACAGATGCCCCCGGGGCTCCGTGCCCACTCATGTCCCGCACCGCTTCAGCACTTCCTACACACACACACACACACACACACAGGTTTGTTTTTGTGGAAAGTGGGGACATCCCATAGGCGTAATGGTTTTTATACTGTACAGACCGTATATTCTATTGCCCTACACCAACCCTACCCCTAAACCTACCCCTCACAGGAAACTTTGTGCTATTTCAGATTTTCAATACACTCCATTCTGTGTGATTTATATGCGTTTTGAAAAGTGGGGACATGGGGTAATGTCCTGAAAAGTCACCTTCTCCTTGTAATACCTATGTCATACCCTTGTCATTATACAAATGTATGTCCTCATTTGTCACAAAAACGCGCACACACACACACATTTCACCTGTGACTAAAAGATAATTTATTGCTGGAAAACCCCTGAGAAGAGAGAGGGGGAAACATGAAAACATTAGCTGTGTTCCTACACCTAGTGAGCTGCCCGTCGTGTCTGTCTTTTACAGCATCATAGATGCAATCTTAATGCAAAGGCTGTTCCGGAGTGATGTTGATGCAGACTTTTAAGCTAAAGCAGAATTGCCTCTACGGAGAAGTTTATCCCAGAATCCGATGTAGTAGGCCGGAAATTCACATCACCCTGGTTCCCTCAACAAAAACACAACAGGATTTTTCCATTGGCTTTTTGCAGAAAATAAGCTCTGTGACCAACAAAAGTTGGATGCTCATCGTGATAATCTTCACAAATGAACACAACGTTTATCCATTATGAAGCCTAAATACAATCGCCAGAAGTAAAAAGCCAAGCGTAGGCTATAAACACCATCTACTGACTTTTAACATCATCGACAACTCTTTCAGTCTTTATTTAAAAAGCATTTTCCCTGAATGTTTGAGTTAGAATAGTTTGCAAGAGCAAATTATGAAGATGGGGAGGCTGTAAAGCCGGATCTGTGAGTAGATGAGTTTTCCTGTTCAATGTTTACTGTCTCAGACAACCTCTGTAGGCCCATTTAGCACCTTGTTAGCAACTGCCTTTTTCAAGACAAGTAAAAGCTTTTAAAAATCTGGTGTATTATAGGTTGTAGAATAAATCATGAAAGTATCTTGATCTTGAATGAACCACAGAGCTTATTTCAGACATTTAACCAAAACCCATTGGCTTCGAGAAGATGGAACTGGTGCTAAAATGCTAACTCATTTCCTGGTTCCCTGCAGCACTCTATTGTCCCAACTGAATAATGAAATAGTTCAGGCTTATTGTGATTTTTACTCTTTGTTGCTTTAATGTTGCTCATCCTTACGTTATATCTGTTAGGTGACAGCTGTGCATTATTAATACCAGATTCTAGTATAGGGATAAAAAAAAAAAAATCTGACAGTTTATTATTGACAGTCAAAATAGAGGGAAACTGTTCTACAGCAGATAAATGGGACCAATTCTGTGGGGACACAGGCAGCTAGGATTGAACCTGCATTACCTGCATGAGCCCCAAGGCTCAACTTTTCTGGAGCACATGAGCTAACCACTAGGCTCCAACTAGTAAACAATATAAATATAGAAACCTTATAGAATTAGAGTGAATTTTAGCTCACAATAAGACCCGTGGGAGCAGTTTAGAGCCACTGTAGGGAGAGTTTACAGCAGAAACTCACACACACACACACACACACACAGATGCCCCCGGGGCTCCGTGCCCACTCATGTCCCGCACCGCTTCAGCACTTCCTACACACACACACACACACACACACAGGTTTGTTTTTGTGGAAAGTGGGGACATCCCATAGGCGTAATGGTTTTTATACTGTACAGACCGTATATTCTATTGCCCTACACCAACCCTACCCCTAAACCTACCCCTCACAGGAAACTTTGTGCTATTTCAGATTTTCAATACACTCCATTCTGTGTGATTTATATGCGTTTTGAAAAGTGGGGACATGGGGTAATGTCCTGAAAAGTCACCTTCTCCTTGTAATACCTATGTCATACCTTTGTCATTATACAAATTTATGTCCTCATTTGTCACAAAAACGCACACACACACACACACACACACACACGCACACAAACACACACACACACACAGATCATGTTACCGGCTGCACACACATCACAGTCACACTCCCACTTAATGCACTCATGACCACACACAGCCTCAGGTTGTTATATCAAGTGTGAGAAAAGTCAGTATGTTTCAGCCCAATGCAATAACATTAACTAGTATTTTCGGGAAAAAAAAGAAAATCCTCTCTGGGTCAAAATGACCAGAACACAACATGAGGCTTAATGAACTGTGGAAATCACAAGACCATGCCTTTTTTCTATCAGAAATGCTGAAAAATGTCTCTAGAAATGCATCAGTCTGTTGATCGTTTGACAGATAATGGCTATTTCATGCACCACTGTCTTCATAAGAAGAAAGCAAACTGGACATCAGAGGCTTGAGAAACAGAGCGCACACTGGTGCTCAGCTCGTATTTCCAGCTTCATTTGCAAAATTGAGAAGAATTTCTATGAATATAGAATGTTTTAGAGATTTTTTTTATATATATAATTTAAAAAAAACTTTTTTTTGGCCCTCATATATATATATATTTTTTTTAACCATCTAATTCCCAGTGAAGTCCAGCTATAATTTCTTTCCTTGAATACCGTGTCTGACTCTAAAGGTTGCGAATGTCGTTTCATGTTAATTTTAAAATGAACCATACTCTGAGCTCCTGAGTTGGTATCAGTTTGGTTCACTTTAGAGAGACACCTAAAACCAACCAACTGTGACAAAACCCTACATTTACACGTTGTAACTGTAGCTCTGTAGCACGTTTTTTAAAACCGCTGTGTAGACCTTACTTAAGACATTTACTTACAATGTTCTTATTTGAATTGAGTCTACGATAGTGTCATTTAAAGTATATGTGGTGGGTCTCCTGAAGATTTGAGCAGACGAAACAGAGCACCACATCGGACGTCTGGTTCTGTTTCTGTGTTGTGTTTGTCTCATGTGTATAGAAGCTTTTCTTCTTGTCTCTAACTGCTCTGAAGGACTATACCATTGTGTTTTAACCACCTCTCTGTCTTGCTGTATCTCTCTGTGTGTGTGTGTGTGTGTGTGTGTGTGTGTAACCCTGTCTCGTGGCTGTGACACTAACAGGACTCTGCACTGGGACTGTGACCCCTCCACTCTTCTGCTTCACTCTGAGCCGGGGTACTGCACACTTTCTGCTCGTTCTCCTTCACTTCTGCTCTTTCAGACCTCTAGAGAAAGAAGTCATGAGTGATTGTTGGTGACCATGAGCATGGATTCATACTGTGATTCATGCTGTACTGTAAAGTCAACTGCAGGATAGCAAGGCATATGGGTTTGGATGTTTTAAAGGTCACAGATGTGAATGTAAACATTATTGTTTGCACGATATATAAGAAGTGAGCACAGTGATTTCCAGAGGACATTTAGAGCCTGTTTACACCTGGTTATGAACATGTGAGTTTAGAGCATGTTTACAATACCGGTCAAAAGTTTGGAGACAATTATTTAGTATTTATTCATTAGTGTTACTATTTTTCAGAATTTAGAATAAAAGTCATCAAAATAATCAAATGCAAGTTTAGAAATTATATAATGACCAAAAAATGTTAAACTAATACACTGTCTGCATTCTAAAGCTTTTGAACAATATTGAAAGAGATCCCATGAGAAGTGCTGGCTATTTTTCCTTCACAACCCAGTCCAACTCCTCAATGAAATGAAATTAATAAATAAATTATAAAAAGTTAATTTATAGGCAGTTCATATTTATCTGCAAACTAATCAGGCACTAAAAGCCTTTTATGGTTAAAAGATTTTCAAGAGCATAAGAAACAAATTTAGTCAAATGTGTCCTTTTTTTTTCTAGCAAACGTGTCCGTTTCTGACCACCTATGAATGTGGTGTGGGTGACCGGATCACAGTGCGCTTCTGAGACTTATTGGAACATGTTTCCACCTGTACTTTAAGTGCTGTCCACTTGTGATCAGATCAGCTGAGAGAGATCTTACCAGAAGTAAATGTGGCCTCAGTTTGTCATCTGCTCAAGAAGGATGTGTGCAGCATGTGTGTAAAACTTTAGATGGTTGAACAATGTGGGCGTTGTTCCTTCTTATGATTTGTGTGTGTGTGTTTGTGTGTGTGTGTGTGTGAGTGTGAGTGTGAGTGTGTGT